TTTCATGAAAATCCTTCACAACAAGCCCGCGAACTGTTGGGGAGAACTCGAACAGCTGCCGCACAACATAGACAAACTACTACGGGGACGTGCTTCTTGGCATAGGAAGATGTATCTCATCCGCTCCCTCGTCGAGAGCCAGTTCAAGTGGACAGCGGGTGCCTTACACTGGGCGGCTGATGATCTCCGTCAAGCGAACCTCCTGCAACTTCATGTTATCCGGGATGCATTCCGTATCCATAGACGATCCAATGAAGACTGGGTCACATGGAACACGAGGAGCATGAGAGACTGCAGATATTGGCTGAAAGTACAGGGTCATCTTCGTTGGTCTACACTACTTCTCACCTTGCAGCATACGCTCCATGGACATTGGTCTAGGCGCAACGAGTGGATCAGTTCTCCCCGGGGAGAAATTGCTGAACCCAGCTTGCCCATGAAGGCCATTCTGTGGAGACCGACAGGTTGGTGGAGGTGGCAACAGCAGCTTAACCCGCGAGTAGGAGTTCGGCATCCAGTCAGATTTTATGCTTCATGTACAGAACGTCAGCTTAGTGAAGTGCATGGTATCCGATGGTTTGAACAAGCTGGTGATCGGCAAAATTGGAGTGCAGCACGGGAAGACTATCTGTCTCGATGGGACATCAAGTGGACGCAGGGCAGACAACTGAGCATCCGCTACTAGACTGCCTGACATGGGCAATTGCTGTATGAAGCTCACACGCAGAGCTGAGATGCAGTTGCTACTGTGTTTTGACATGCTCACATGTGTCACTCCTCATGAAATTCTGCGACTATCTTCACATGCATTCCTTGACGTCCGACTTTGACCTTGACTTTCGGTGTTCCTTGCAGGCTCGAGACCCCTCGCCTTCTACAAGTTCTTTTCTCATCATGGCCTTCGCCTCTCTCGCCACATGGCTTCGTGCGCTTGCTCTAATGACTGCGCCCTTCGGCGATGCCATGGAAGACCCTTCGGAATGGCCATCATCGACAAACACCTGGGGCGAAGTTCACACTACTTCGGCAACTGCGACTACAAGTTCCTCCTCGACTACCAGCAGCTGTGTGCATCATGGGCTTGGTCCTGCCAGGTCTTCCCATGAATACATGGCATGGATGGCTGCAATGTGGGATGAAGAGATATGTGTGGGACTACAAGAAGAAGAACTCCAAGTGGAAGATGTCTTCCCTGTTCCACCTGATGAAGACTCGCTCCCTCTGCCACATGCGATGTTGGGTGTCCAACTTGAACACGATGCCACTGCTCCTGACTCTTCTTCGTCAGCGCCTCAGGATTGGTTTCTGGCAGTGATGGACAAACGTGACCTTCGTGGACGTAGACAGCGCCAATTGTCAGCAGAAAACCAATCTCAGCCAACTCCGGCCGCGGATCCATGGGCTCCAATGAGTTGGCAAGAGGAAGAGGCGAAGCTGAATCCCCATGTACCAGAGCACGGACCTCTCCAAGTACCTCAAGCTGGAGCTTCGTTGTCTTCTTCCCCTGCAACTTCGAGGATTTCGGGCACGTCTTGGAACACACAAGCTATGACTTCTGCGGCCTCGTCCTCTTGGGAGCCGCTGCATATGTCGTCACACTCTGCGTGGGCTCCGTCAGGGGCATCCTGGAGTTCGTCGACGTCGCCAAGTTCGTCTTCGACAATACCGGCCTCGTCGAGTACAGCGTGGAACAATGAGCCATCGTCCTCTTCCTCCTCCTGGGGCCAGTGGTCGACGAGTACTAGGGATGAACCAGATGGGGAGACTTCTGCTGATCGGCTCGACAGTACAGCTTCTATAACCTCCTCGACTGTCTCCACGACAAGTGAGAATTTAAGTACTGGAGTCACCTGTCGCTTTGGGGTGTCAAGACCTGGACGAGATCGGTGGCACCATGCAAATGGCACTGTCCGAAATCGCCTTCGAGATCGACGACCCGCCGACACTCACACTCTTGACACTGTTGATGAGAGTGAGCCGACAGTCTTCTCCATTGAAGGGATAGACGCTACCGGTGAAGAGCCTGTGATACAGGCTACCACCTACTACGGGGAGAAGTTTGAAGTACGAGCTGATCCAGGAAGTCTCGATGGGCCCTCAACCACATGTGGAGAGTCGGACGCGGATGGAGAAGCTGATATCTCGTCAACCAATGAGGACACCGACAACCCTGAGGAGAGTTCCACAGGCTCTTCCAGTTCCACTGTTGGTTTCTGGAGACACGGAGTGTTTGTTCCCCGTGCCCGTACAAGTGAAGAACTGAGGACACACAAGGGTGGATCAGGCATCCGTCGTACCATGAAGAGGCAACAACGGATGGATGAGTATTTCCGTGGAGACTGGCGACCGGCGTGGCTCAAAGACTACATCAAGGCCAAGACTCGTCGTGACTCTCAACGAACTGAACAACCAGGGGAGACCAGTGCAGACCCCACAGGTCCACAAGAGTCAGTTCCCACCACCGTGGTTGCGAGCAGCCAACCTTCGAATCTGGAGAACACTGCTGCATCTGACAGCTCGTGGTGGGCACGCTGGACGCAAGAAGAGTGGGATGAGTGGTACATGTGGAGTGGATACTCGTCGACATCAACTACGGTGACCTCAAGCGCCATAACCACGAGCTCTACTACCTTTGTGGTCGTGCCCAACTTCGGCTTGTTCCCTGACGTACGTCCCGTACCACCCCGCCCGCCTGATGAAACTTCCCTCATGCAGCTTACGGGCTCTGAACATCAGCGTCTTCGGGAGAATGGTGTTCCCCAACGGGATGTTGAGCGACTGGCCAATCTGCTCGATTCACTCCAAGAACACCAAGAATCGGATCGTGGGCCGGAGGCACGATGGGCTTTGGGATGCTTACTACAACGGCTTGAAGAAGGACAAGATGCGCTGGGTACAGTCACTGAACTTCTTGCTCGTCGTCTTGTACCTCGTGGCTTCCTACCAGTACGTCGAGTCCCATCTGATGAGTTTCAAAGACTGCGCCTCCTCAACTGGGCGCGTCAGGGCATTCCTTGCCTGTTGGATATACTCGAGACCCACCTCCGTACACCGCTTCAACCTGGGGAGACTTCAAGCACTGTGTCAGACCTTCCTGCACCGCGACCCTCGCTCTACATTCAGTCCGCAGGCAGTAATGTTGGTGCTGCATTGAATACAGCCCCACTGGCAACTTCTGCAGCAGAGGGAGAAGTACATGAAGGGGGAGACTCGCCTCGAAGCATAGAGAGTATTGATAGTCAGTTCGCGCTCGATGAGAATGGCCAATTGGTTGAGGTTCCTCCTCATCACCCTGTACCTGGAGAAGAACCTCGTGGACCGCCTCCTCCAGTACCTGTTCGGTGGGATCGCAGCCGTAGCAGATCTCATGGGGAGCCATCTTCTTCTTCGTCTTCGAGTTCTTCGGCTTCACCCAGACCTCCTGACCTTCCACCGCACCCTTCGTCGCCGCATGGAATTTGGAGGGAACCTGCAGGGCCTGAAGATCCAAATGAAGAATCTTCCCTTGTCCAACTCTTTGGGTATATTGGGATGACGTCTTCGTCCACCACAACTACATCGAGTCAGACCCCCTGGCCTATCTCACCACCCGATGATGTCGTCAGGGATGAGGTCATTGCGAACATGCTTCAGTGCAACCTTGTCGACGTAGTGGACATCATGCAACGATTGATGGCCCGTCGAAGACATCTTGAAACTTGTCAGCGACTACTGAGTGTGGCATTGGAGGAACTCACACAGTGGCTCAGGATTCCTATCAGTGCCTGTCCGCTCAACGGGAGGGCCTTGGAACACCGAATTTGGCAGACGATTGGAGATCAAGCAACACGGGGCACTTCATCTCAGGCGATTGCTCCTCTACCTCCTCCATCCATGGATCCGACCTGTCTTCTTCGGCCTGGACTCCCTGTGAACACGGAGGCACTGTGGCGAGCTTTTCATCCTCGTGAGCAACGGCATACTATTGCAGGGTTTAGGCGCAGGGCCTGGCGAGCTCACGTTGAACGTCTACATCGCGCCGAAGGATTGCCAGTTCCACTTGGTCGTTGGCCAGCAGAAGATGATCGACAACTGCTTCTGCTGCAAACTGACGAAAGCTCATTTATCCCGAACTTCCCCGTGGGCTATGTCATGCCGTCGACGTTGTCGTGCATCCCACCACCGCCGAGCCAGTCTGTCAATGGGGTGACTCAACCGCTTGAACATCGTGCTGGACGCCGCCGTGGACATGTACGACGACCTCCTCTTCGTCTTCGACCAGATCTTCATGATGGTCCTGAAGTTGGACGTGGAGAATCTGCTCATCCACACGAACGTGTACCTCCTGTTTTCCAAGCGAGCTCGGGAACTGCTATGCGGATGCGTGTCAATGTGCTTGAAGATGAAGAAGATGACGAACTTGCTCCTGCTCCGCTGCATGACGTTGATGATGAGCCGCATGATGACGAAGAAGATCCGGGTGTTGATGTGCCGCCTCGTAGTCGTGAACGCAGTCGAAGTCGTGATCGAGGAGGGCCAATCTGAGTCAGGCTGTTTTGTTGTCGAGTGCAGAGCCTTTCGAGGCGGGCTTCGGACCCGCATGTCATGCGGAGAAAGGGCCATTGCATTAAAAAAACAAAAACCTTAAAGCCCCATAAACCCTAAACCCCCAAAGCCCTAAACCCTACCTGTAGCCGAAAAGACCTACCTTTCTGAGGAGCTATATACAGAAATCCTAATAAGGAACCCTAAAAAAGGTAGGTCTTTTCGGCTACAGCTATAGCTTAATTACATCATAATATGAATCCCGTTATGATTTAAGGTAATTATATTCCGTAATTAAACCCTAAACCCTAAAGCCCTAAGCCCTGAACCCTCGAGCTCCCATGGGTAACCCAGAGAGCCCAATACACCTTAATTAAGGAATATGGCTTAAATCATGTTATGCGCAACCTTATAATTTAAGGTATATTGCTAAGTTAAGGGGTATTGGGCTCTCTGGTAATGTCCTCACTGCCGAGGCGCCGCCGTTGCCGCGCTGGGCGCCATGGGTGCCGAGGCCCACACTGCCCTCGTGGCCCAGGCCTGAAACTGATTTTGGGTTTAGGGTTTTAGGGTTTTGGTGTTTAGGGTTTAGGGTTTAGGGGTTTAGGGTTGAGGGTTTTATGGTTTAGGGTTGAGGGTTTAGGGTTTAGGGTTGAGGGTTTTAGGGTTTGGGGTTCAGGGCTAAGGGGTTAAGGGTTTAGGGTTTATGACTTACGAGGGTTCTTACAGGGCTCTTGGGGGTTGTATGGGGTATCATAAGGATTTCGGCTCTCTTTAGGTTTTTTGTGAGGCATTAGACGCAGCCCCAGAAAGAATTGCATTAGAGAGTGCGGCTGCGGCAGAATCAAGATGTCATGGCCTGTGAAGACCGTGACTGGTTGGGTGGCGTGCCTGTTGTCATAAGGGCCAAAAGGGGTTTTAGCCTATGGGGGTTTAGTAGGGATTAGGGTTCCCATAATAGGGTTCATATTAAGGAACCCCTACCCCAAGAATCTTAAACCCCCCTTTTGGCCTCCCTTCAAACCGTTGAACCTGCAACCGACAAATGGTTTGGAATAGATCGTACGACGCCGAAGAGAATTTGTTCGTCATCGGCTGCCATGATGCAGGGAATGATCGAGCTCACACGATTCTTTGCAGGACCTGCAAACCCAAGAGAAGAATTGTTGGGTGACGCGATAGACATGGCATTGGGTCTATTTACTCCTGCAGCAGGCTTCAAAGATCATTTCCCCAACACTTGGAGCTTGCATCACCGGTCTCGAGAGGTCGTTCTACCCTCGCAATTTCCTTTGAGTGCGTTAGCCAAATTCTGGAACATCCCAGAACAAACTTGACAAGGCCCCTTCGTCCTTCTTTAGTGCAATACAACGTCTGTCCCGTTTTGCGATGAATGCAGTGGAACGTACTGGTGTGTAACAGAATGCAACGGGTTAGTCGACTGCGTCAGTGGAGTGTAATGCAACGTAACGGAACGTAATGGAATGTACTGGAGTGGAATGGTAGTTGTGTCCGTAGGTGTGTGCCCGCCCGTCATAACCGTGAACGCTTCGAATTACTGAGATCTTCGGGCTCAAGGGAGGCCAATGCCCCCTGAAATATTTCAGAGATACATCCCTTCAAATCTAAGAGGGACCCTTCATAATGCCTTGAGGGGGCATTGAGCTTAGGATAATCATCATCATTATTAGTGTCGTTGTTCATTTGCATGATCTATCACTCCTGTTATTGTTGGTGCTAGTGTTATCAGCAGCAACAGTAGCCTCTCGCAGTAGCAGCAGTGGTAGCAATACGCACAGTAGCAGTAGCAAGAGCATCAGCAAGTAGTCGTCGTAGGAGGACGAGAAGGAGGAGGATGAGGAGGAGGAGGAGGAGGTAGGAGTGGGAGTCAGAGTGGGAGGAGTAGTAGTAGTAGTCGTCGTAGTAGTAGCAGCAGTAGTGGTAGCAGTCGTAGCAGTAGTAGCGGTGGTTGCAGTAGTTGCGGTAGTAGAGGTAGCAGCAGCAGGAGCAGGGGCAGTGGAAGTCAAGGTTCAGTTCCCTAAACCCTAAACCCTAGGTTTAGGGTTTAGGGCTCTCTGAGTGGAAGAGAGCGACTTGTCAACTGTTGCAGGGGCTCCTGGACAAGAGCTGGGAGGCCCTCGTGGTCTAGGTCTTTGAAGTTTCCGAAAATAGGGGGCCCTAATGTAGTACCCTAAATAGTAGGATCCTCATTATGAGGGCCCGAGTTTAGGCTTTTTGGATTTGAGCGTTGGGGCTTGGGCCTTAGGGTTCGGGCTTGTTACGTTGTTAGTCTTCATCTACGGTAAAAGCCAGAAAGTTGGAATATGATTATCCTAAGCCCTTTATGGTAAATTCTAGGGTATCCTACCCTGAAACCATATTCCAACTTTCTGGAGTTCCGTCTAGGTCATTCCGGGCATGGACTAAGCCGGGATTCTGGTCTGGAACAAGTAAGAAACCCTGGGCCAAGAACCCCAAAATAGTAGGATTCATATGAGGAGCCCTACCAAAAGGCCCAAGGTTTCTTAATCAGGTTATTACATTATACCTTTGCTTTGGGATTGCGGGGCCTTTTTGGCGAGGGCGAGCACAGGGTTCTAGAGAGGGACCAGGGCCTTGGCCTCAAGAGTTGTACTAAGGGCTCCTTTAAGGGAGCCAATAAAGGGCTCTCAGAAAGGGCTCCTAAAAGGGATCTTTTCAGGGATCCTTTGAGGGATCCCATATGGCTTGCTGCTCTTGCTGTGTTTGTCAGCGATATGGAGAGTAGCTCATGTGGGGCTAAGGGTATGTTTCAGGTGTTTGGAATGTGGGGAATTGCTTCTGGGTCCAGGCTTGGCGATGGCCGCATGGAGTGTCATCGCTGTCACTGAGCAACACAGAGGCTGCTCCATGCTAAAAAGGGATTCAAGGGGAGTTTCGCCTACAAGGAGAAAGACACACTGCCGCCGTCGCTGGATATAGTCTCCTTAGGAACATTTGTTTTGCTCACATAAATCCCAAGCGAATATTGGCAATCCTATTTTTATCATAGGTCTAAGGGAAATCTCTAGAAAACTTCTGCAACCGTGCAAATGCCAAACCCTACACCCAAACCCTGAACCCTTAACCCTGAAATTCCACACCCTAAACCCTAAAACCCTAAAACCCTCAAACCCTAAACCCTAAACCCTAAACCCCTAAACCCCTGAACCCTAAACCCACCCAGACAAATCCTAAACCAGCGCCTGGAGGTGCGACAGGCGGCAGCAGAGGCTTTGGGCAACTTGGGCGAGGTGCCTGCCCTTGACATGCCCTTACAGGGTTTAGGGTTTATAACCCTAAGACCCTAAAACCCTAAGCCCTAAAGCCCTAAACCCAGAACCCTTGCGGTTCATGAGAGGTGCTGGGTGCTAAAAGGATAAAGTTTTAAGTGAGCATTCCCGGTTTTATGGGGTTGTTTTGTGCTTTGGGGGTGGTTAGGGTGCGAGCTACTGCATCTAGGGGGCGGAAGGGTGCTTAGGCTTCCATTCAGGTTTTGGGGTTTGAAATTTTGGTTTTCCTGGCTCTCGGGGTTGAAATGTCGTGGGTATAATTGGACGACTACGGCTAGCATGAATAAGCGCCGTACTACCACGAAGAACAGGAGAATCAGTTCTGAGGCTTCAGTGTTGTGGGGCTTGGGGTTTCGAAGCAGCGACAGTCGTGGGTCTACGGTTGATGATATAATGAATCCTGCATTACCTTAATGACCCTAGACTATGGGAATTCTGGTATATTCCTTAGAAGCTGCCCCCACCCTGTAATAGTGACTAGAAGGATTATAGTAGGATTATAGTAGGGCCCTATTATATTCTTATTATACCACAATTACAGGGTGGGGGCCGCTTCTAATATATTCCTTATGATGGGTAGTGCAGGATTTATATCCCTAAACCCTAAACCCTAAAACCCCTATAGATCCCTTAAAGGTACCTTTATAGATCCCTTTAAAGGAACCCTAGGATTTATATCATTAACCCTAGGGCTCCATCCAGGGCTTTGGTGTGTAAGGGTCGTAGGGTTCCGGGGCTCTTATAGTGAACCCAGAAAGTTGGAACATTGATTTAGGAATTTAGGATGATTCTTGCTGGGATTCCCTATACTTTAGGGGCACGAGGATAATGATGTTCCAACTTTCTGGCTTCTACTATAGGGTTGTAGGATTTTAGGCTTCAGGGGATCGGAAACCGGGGGCTGGGGCTTGGGGTTTGGGAGGTCCGGTGTCTTTTTGCTTTTTCTGTAGAGGGGGAGGGAAGAAGGACTTATTGCAGATTGGTGGTGGTGGTGCTGCTGCTGGTGGTGGGGGTGGTGGTTTTATTTCGGATTTCGTGCGAGTTCTGAGCCGCGCATGCTTCGCACCAAACCAAAATCGAATCAAAGAGCCGTTGTTTCAACTTTTGGCCTTAAAAAATCCAGGCATCAGTCGCAGCCCTCACCATTGTATTCCTCCAGGGATTGCGAGTACCTGCGCCATCGAACGCTTGCTGTTTGTAGGGTCCTATGATAGAGTCAGTCGGATCTAGGATTTGTATGAACCTGCGAGATTACGCTTCTCGAGACCCCAAAACCCTAAACCTTAAGCCTTAAACCTTAAAGCCTACCCCTTGAACCTTGAACGGTCTTTCCTGTGTAAGCCGACAACCGGCAGGACCTTTGCGGAGAAAAGGTGCGCACTACACATTTAAAGAACAAGCGTAAGCCTGAAACCCTAAACCTTAAGCCTTAAACCCTAAACCTAATTACACACCCTAAACCTTAAGCCTGTAACCCTAAACCTGAAGCCTTAAACCCAAGACCTTGTTAAACCCTAAACCTTATTAAGCCCTATATAAACCTCAAGCCTTAAACCCTAAACCTCATTGAAGCCTGAACCTTATTAAGCCCTAAACCCTAAACATTATCTTAAGCTATTAAACACTAAACCTCATTCAGCCCTAAGCCTTAAGCCTTAAACCCTAAACCTTATTAAACCTTATTAAACCTTATTAAGCCTTAAACCTGAAGCCTTAAGCCCTATACCCTCGAAGTCCGCCAGGCTGCACGAAGTCACGCTTCGAGCCTTATAGGCTGCCTCGCGGATGGCTCCTACCCAGCCGACGGCCCGGTGTAGGGGTGAGGGTTTAATTGGGTTCTGTTAAGGGTCCTTCTAAAGGGGGTCTATAAGGATCACCACAAGGGGTATGATGGGGGTTTACAAGAGGGGCCTTCATACTTACCTACACTGTTTGGGGGGGCTCCTGATTATAACCTCTGGTATAATGGGCCCAAACCCCATTCTAATTATTAAGTCCCCTATATTAGGGCTTCAGGCTTCGGGGCGTAGGGCTTTGGGTTTATGTTTGCTTGCGGGTTGCTGCAGCCAGAAGTCTGCTCTGACCTTCGCAGCATCATGTTTGCTTGCTTTCCTGCCCCGGTGGTTGTTGCCGTTGAGGAAACCCTAAACCCTAAACCGGCTGGACCTCATGCAGAAAAGGCCCCACTGCACCTAAAAAAAACAACCCTAAACCCGTTGCCGTGGCTGCTGCAGCCTCCTGCTCCTGCTGGAGCTCCTATAAGGTTAAGACTCCAAACTTCGAACCCCGAAGCCCAAACGACAATTGAAGGAAACTGAAGAATGCAGAAGGGATCTCGGCCCATCTCCTCCGACATCCTACCCTGAGCCCAAACCCTGAACCCTAAACACCCTATGATAGGGGCCTAGCTAACTAGCGCTAGTATTCTGGGCGTTCCTTATTATAATTCTGGTATAATGGGCCCCAAAACCATATTCTAGTGGTTAAAGCCCTTATATCATAGTCCCCTGTAGATCACTTATATTATGCTAACGCTGCTAACCCTTATAGACCCCTTTAAACAGGAACCCTATTCTAATTATAATGGCCCCTGTTTTCAAGCGAGGTCCGCGCCGCCGCGTGCGTCGCCCTAGGAACTTGCCGGGCTCCGGAGGAGGGTGGGGTTTAACGAGTCTACCCATAGGCCCCATGGTAGTTCCTTTTTGGGGCTCATATTTAGAATCCTATAAGGTAATCCCAACAAGGAACTACTTGGGGCCTTGTAGATGAAGGCTTAGGGGCTTCAGGTTTTTTTTGGGGGGAGGGGGTCGGGGTTTAGGGGTTCAGGGTTTAGGGTGTCAGAAGTAGGTTTGAGGTAGGATTTAGGGTTGAATTAGGCTTTTAGGTTTTGTTCTAGTATCGGGGGAGTGCAAGATGGCCATAAGCGAAGGTATGCGACTAGGTTTGGGGGCTTACTTCTGGGGCGTGACGGAGTGCGTCTCATCTCCTCCTTATCTAAAGGCCCGCCAAACCACTAAACCCGAAACCCACTTTAAGTCTATGAGGGTTTCGGGTTAAGGGTCTAGAGCTAAGCTGTAATCCTAGACTAGACACCCACCCCAAATCTTCAAGGGCAGCAGGAACGATCTCCATTCAGGAAACACCCGGTACGCCCCGGCCCACACCTCTCTTCAATATTACTAGCTATGATGACGATGACTAGCGTTTTCCGTGTTCAAGGTCGTTACGTGACTTCGGTTCAAGGGCAATCCCCAGACAGATCCCTCAACAAAGTAAGCTGAACCACCGATCCCAAAGCCCCAAAACCCCCAAACCCTAAACCCCCCCCAAAAAAACAAACCCCTAAACCCCAAACCCTCAAACCCGAAACACCCTAAACCCCCAAATCCTTAAACCCCATACCTTAAAGCCCCAAGAGCCTCTCCTAAGCCCCTTAACCCCCAAACCCGTCGGGCAAGTCACAGCGTGTAAACCGCAGGCGCTGCCGGGCTTGGCTCAGGCCTTTGAGGACGAGTCTGCCGTGGTCAGGCGGGGAGTTTAGGATTTGGGGGTTTTAGGGTTTAGGGGTTTGGGGGATCGGGGGTTTGGAGGTTTAGGGTTTAGGGCTTGGGGGTTTTAGGGTTTGGGTTTTTAGGGCATTTTAGGGTTTTGGGGTTTATAGAGTTTGTTCGTTTCGTCGTTTAGGGTCTAGGGTTGGGTCAAGATCTTGGTTTTGAGGGTTTTTTTCGTAGGGAAGCTGTACGCTAAACATAGCCCGAAAACCCAAACCCCTGCTTAGCCTACCTGTCGTTTCCACAGCTTTCTTTTCGTTTTCGAAGCTCGGGGTTTAGGCTCCATCCTTGCGTTGCGGTATCAACTCTTGAGCATCTCGGCGGTGGAGGCTTGCGGCATAGGATATACCTTAACAAACAGCCTGCCAGTCTTTAGGCTCCATATCACTCCCAAACAACCTCATGAACGGTTTTGCAGGCACCAAGAAGCCTTATACCGATCATAGAGGCCTGCATAAAACCCTCAGCCAACCTTTTCAAGACCCTTCGTCAATCCGAATGCTGTAAAGGCCCTGACCTCCTGACCTCTGGAACTATAAGCCCTAGACCTTTCAAAAGCCTCTTCAAGCCAGATCAAATCTATCCAAGGGTAAAAGGAGGGACCCTTAAAAAGGACCCCGAGGTATATACCCTCAATATAGCTATTATATACCCATTATATAGCCCATGACAGGGTAGGGGTCCCCATTAAGGGTCCCTCCTTCTCCCCTTTGAATCTATGAATCTCCATGAAAGGCGCAGCGCCCTTGAGGCGGCTTCGGCTTTGGTGGCTGAGGAGGAGTCCTTCTGTGGCGACCCAAGATCGGCTTTCAAGGTGTATTTGTTATGGTTTACTGTGGTTTTGTTAGGGTTTTTCGGTTTCATGTACCTGGTTTTATAGGTTTCCAGTGTTTTTGGAGGCTTTGTTTAATGGGTTTACTGTTTTGCTGTTCTCTCTAGAGTTCTACAGGGCTTTGCGGGGGCTCACTTCACCATTGTTTCAAAGGGTTTTCTTGACTTTGCAGACGGTTTTGTGCAGAGGTTTAGGGTTTGGAGCGAGGCTTGGGGTTCGCGGGCTCGGCGCAGTAAAGATCGGGGTTTGAATAGCTAGTAATCTTATAGGATCCTTAAGGGGGGGTGGTTCAAGGGGGGAGGGTACTAGGGAGCTTTGGGGAACCTTAGGGAAGCTTAGGGAGTATTGGGGAATAATGGGGATTACTAGGTTACCTACCCCCCTTAGACCACCCCCCCTTAAGGACATCCTAATAATCAAACCCCTCCTATGCTTCCAAACCCTGATTATTCCAAATGTCTTAGGGCCCTAAGCCCTACACCCCAAACCGTACACCCTAAACCCCAAACCCTAAGCCCACTAAACCCCAAAACCCTAAACCCCAAACCCAAAGCCCTCAAAACCCTGAACCCCAAATCCCTAAACCCCAAGCCTTAAACCCCAAGCGCTAAGCCCCCTAAACCGTGAACCATAAGCATGATCGTCGAGACAAGTGCATCGGGGACTCTCTGAGTTTTCGTTCTTTGAGTTTTAAGTTTTTGGTGCTCTCCCGTTCAAGGGTTGAAGGGTTTAGGGGTGTAGGGTTTCGGGGTTTAGAGTTGGGATGGAGGGTTTGGGTTTTTGTTGGCTTCGGGTTTAGGGGTTTTGGGGTTTAGTGATTCTGTAGGTGATTACCGCAACGGTTGAGGTATTCGGGCACAGGGCGTTAGGCCGCACTTGGGTTTTGGGTCTCGGGCTCAATACCCTAAGCTTACGGGGCGGCTTCAGGTATTTCAGGCTGCCGAGGTCGTCTCCCAACAATCGGGGACTTGCAGCGAGAACCGTAACACTAGCCCCACTGGTAGCAACGTGGCTCCGAAGCTTTTTTGTTCGCATGGCTGCGACAGTGTAGGCTTGCATGAGTTTCTGTTGGTAATAAGTATTAGCATTACTAGTGGGGCCCCAAAAAAGCACATAAGCAAAAATTAGGATAGGGATATCACAGATAAAACCCCTTATAATGAAGCCCAATAAGGTAGGGATATCACCATATAATGCTTATGCTAATGTGCTTTTTGGGGTCCCTAACTAAAGCCTCGAAGATCTCCCACAAGTTCCTTTGGGCACTGGGCGAGGGTGCTTGGAGGTTCATGGGTAGTTATAAGTGGGGTTTATACTTGGAGGGTCGGGGGACTTAGTAACTGGTCATTTTAAGGACTTATAAGTACCATAACCCCAATTAGGGTCCCTTTTAGGGTACTTATAAGTCTACTTACTACCTACTTACTAAGTCCCCCGACCCTCCAAGTAGGGATCCCTTAAAGGGATCTATAGGGATTCTATAAGGCTGTAGGGTTTAGGGTTCATGGGTAGTTATAAGTGGGGTGCTTTAGTCCCTTAATAGTAACCATGAACCTGCAAGTGCGGGCTGAATGCGATGCTGCACGTTTTAGTCAAGAGCCCTTTGACGTCGCAAGGCTTTCAGGACGTGTGCCGGGCTGGTTCTTTGGCTTGACAAGTTTAGGGTTTAGGGTTTTGGGATTTCAGAGATCTGGGGGACTTGCAATTTCACACGAACGCAGGGAGCATATAGAACGCTGGCTCGATAGCTTTTCCTCCATTGAATAGTTCAGAGAACCACGCATCTGCAGGTCACGAGGTCTTCAAGGCAGTCACGGACACGAACGCGCAGGCCGGCTGGAGTCATTCAGCCACCGTGCTCGAATCTCTGCAACCGAAGTGTAGGCTTTAGAGGTTTGAGAGCCTTGAAAGGTGGCATCCATCAGAGAAGTGCGAACATTCGTCCTAGTTCATGTGCAGTTGTACCTGCAGTGCCTATAAACCCCACATTAACAGTCGGAAAATATTCATAATTTATAGATATAAGAGGACCTTCATTGTAGCCCCATTTACAGACTGTTACTGTATGGGGGACAGTGCCCAAACCTAAACGCTCCCTAAACACTGAGCCCTAAAACCTTCGTATTCCACGGCTCTGCAGTAGTTCCTTCGTGGGATTACTTTGTCGGAGTCTAAATATGAACCCAAAAAAGGAACTACTATGGAGCCTGTGGGTGTTGTAGGTATAAGGACTTGGGATTGAGGATTTCGGATTTGGGTTTCAAAGGCCTCCAACTCTGAGCCGTCGTGTTTGGGGATTAGAAGGTGTAGGGTTTCGGGGTTGAGGCTTAGGGTTTAGGGTTTGGGGTAACTCTGCGACGGGGACTTTGCTGGTTTGGAGGGGCTTTGGGGTTTTCTTGGTCTGGGGCTTGCGGCGTATGGTCATGGTTTCTGGCTGCGTGCCCTGAGCCTTTACGTGACAGGCTCCAAGTCCAAGTCATTGATTTCCAACCCTAAGCACCCCTAAACCCTAAACCCTAGCCTTAAACGCAATAGAGTCTCATCCCGAAAAACTGAACCCTGAGCCCCAAACCCGAGAGCCCAGCAAAAAAAAACGGAGGCGATCACCGAAGAACTTTACCCCCCCCCCCCATATCCCAAGTCGAAACTAAAATCACAGGAGGGCAAGAAGGGCTGAAGAAATATGGTGCAAACAGAATAGGGATCACATATTGAATGCCAGCCCTAAACCCTAAACAATTGACCCTAACAGTTTTTTGCATCTTGCCGGCTTCAGCAGCAAGACACACGTTTCCACCGAAGCGGTACCCATGCAGATCGGTCTGCCACTGTGCCCAAAAAAAGCGCTGTAGACCAAAGGTGGGATGAGGGTAGGTAGGATGATAAGAATCCCATATATATAAGGAGTTTTATTTGGGATGTTTGAGCGGTAAGTTCCTAACCCAAAACCCCAATATCCAAGAAGTCGTCGTGAGAGGTCCGTGCTGCGGCCGCCGTGCTCTCAGTTTCTACTGGGCCGGGGGGCGGGGGGCGGGGGTTAAAGAGCACGGGGAGTCCAAAGAAGCCCGAAGTCTATAGGGGCACTTAGACACATTTTTTTCCATGTTTGGTTATTATAATCCCTAAGAAGCAGCTAAAATTCTAATTTTTGCTGGGGTTCTAAGTTCAGTATAGAAGTATGTGCTAGTCATGGGCTTCAGACCTCACTGTAGGTACTAGCTGTGAACTCTAATAAGCCCTAAGTAGATGCTGGCTACTCCCAAAGTCCATACCTTAACCTACCAGAACCTAATTTTAAACAGGTTCCTATAATGGACCTCAATTATAGAATTTATATGGATTCTATAAAAAGCTAGGTTTTGGTAGGCTGAGGTAGACATTGCCTGTCTTTGGCCACAGGACTTCTTTGGATCATTCTGGGGGTCTGTTCCCATAGGTGCAGGACTCGCCGGTAATGCATCGCGATACGGCTTGTATGGTTTAGGGGTTGAGGCTTTAGAGTTTAGGGTTCGGGGTTTCCACAACCCTCACGTATAGTTTCATTCATGACCTCGCCGTGGCTCGAGATCTTTCGCAGACTCAGTCCGCCTTGCTCTCCGTAGACCGTCCTTGCCATGGCATCCCCAACTTCCCGCGATGCCGCCGTGGACTACAAGGGTCTGGGCCACAAGCAGGCTCAAGGGATCAGGGACCCTTATAAGGACCCTTATGGGTAATGAGGGGCTAGTTTGGGGCCACTCAAGTATGTCTTAGATGGGGCCCCGACCCACTAATAGTTCAAAAATGGGTTGGTATCAAGCAGACAGGCCAAAAGTAGCATAAGGAAGTCTGATCACATTAGAGTCCCAAGGTCCCTGAAGTGTTTTGATTTTTGATTGGGGTGGTGCATGGGGCTCTGAGACTGGGTCGGAGGAGGTTCCAAGTGTTCTCCGGGCTTTGACCTCAGATTTTGCATGCGGATCGAAGTGTGACCCGGGGCGTGGCTCAGTTGTGAACAACTTACCAGCCAAGAGGTGTGGAACGACGATTACGCTGTTCGCAAGTTTGTAGCTTTGAGCAACTCACCAGGGAAGAGGTGTGCAGACACGACTACGTTAGTATCGCAAGCTTGTAGCTTTGAGCAACTTACTCGCGAAGAGATGGGGATTGGCCCGGCCCTCTCACAGACAGATCTCACAGATCAGAATTAGCACCAGAGGCGCAAAAAAAACACACAATCGGAGCGTTTCCAGCACCAGAAAAGCCCTGATCCAAGGTGTGTTGAAATCATGGAGCACAAAAAAAGCACAAACATACAAGCACGTTTGGTTTTTGGAGCACGAGAAAAGCACAAAAAGAAACACAATCAGATCGTTTCGAGCACAAGAAAAACGCAACAGCCGGATCGTTTCGAGCACAAGAAAAAGACAAGAACAACGCACAAGCATACAAACACGTTTGGTTTTTGGAGCACCAGAAAAGCACACAAAAAAAAACGGCACAATCGTACCGTTTCGAGCACAAGAAAAGCACAACAGCCGGATCGTTTCCATACAAACACGGTCGGTTTTTGGAGCACAAGAAGATTTGAAAAGCACAAAAACACAATCGGATCGTTTCGCACACAAGAAAAGCACAACAGCCGGATCATTTCGATCACAAGAAAAAAGCACAAACTTACAACCACGTTTGGTTTCTGGAGCACCAGAAAAGCACACAAAAAAAACGGCACAATCGTACCGTTTCGAGCAGAAAAAAGCACAGAAAAGAGGTCTCTGTGATGGAAATTTAGCCCGGGCACTCCCAGTACTTAAACATGGTCGAAGAGGCCAGACCCATGCCCGGCCCCAGCCAGCCCAGCCCCAGCCCCAGCCCACGCGCCCAGCCCAGGTCCCCATCCCGAGCGGGCTCCCCCGCATATACCCTTGCGTGGCACAGTCACACTCTCAGCTTGCCGCGTGACAAGTGTCATCTTTCTCGCTGTGAGAAAGATTTGCCCTCCCGCCCGCCCCAGAGGGGTGGTGGAGGGCGGCGCCGCGCTGCGCCGCATATATCTCGCTCCAAGCAGCGCTCGAGGGTGGCGCAGAATCAATGACCAAGCAGTGCAGCCTGTCGCCAAAAGAGAGTGTGTTTGTTGTGGCAAGTGCACCCCTAGGCTCCGAATAGGCTATTTACAACCTATAGGCAATAATTAACTATTTATAGGACAATAGTTAATTTTTAACTATTGCCTATAGTTAAAAAATTAACTATGGAATAGTTAAAAATTAACTATTTTTAATGGTTAAAATAAGAGCTCAAGCCCCAAGGTAAACCCTCGAACCCCGGTGCGAACCCTTTTGTTCACGCAGCCGCAAGACGAGAGCTTCAAGGTTTCTTTTGGTAAATCTTACCGTCCTCTGTTCGGACATAACGATTGTGACCGCGATCAGCGAAATCTTTGCAGCGGCCGCAGCCGTGCACGAGACTGCGGCATTTGGAGCAGCCCCACCTGTAAAAGTCCTCAGGCTCACCTTCCCGTGGCACCGCAGCAGGGACGGCAGGCTCGGCATCGGCTGCAGGTGCGGCAGCCAGGGCAGCAGCTGGACGCTTCATGCTGGGCCTTTTCAGTGGAGCCGTTGAGGTCTGCAGGGCTTGAAGACGTTCCTCCTTTGACATGGGCTTGGCCGGGCTTGTAGCAAAGGCAGCTTCCAAAGCCCGTCTGCTTGCATTCTGCATGAAGCTCCCAGACCCCAGAGGCCTGCTGCTGGAACTTGGAGCACTGGGTGCATTCGCAGGGACCAGAGCCAGGTGGTCAGCAGCTTTGCTGGGCCGCTGCAACTCCAAAAAGTTTTTCTCGATCTCTCGCTCATCCTCCGACGGCATCTGGGGGTCCTCGTTCGCCCCGCATGCAGTCCACGGCTTGGCTGCACCATCCGAGTCTTGCACTTGCAGCTCGGGCTTAATGATCTGAAGCAGACCCAAGATCAACTCCTGCTGATGCTTGCTCGCTCTGCTGAAGAAGCTCTTCCTGAGTTGCTCGTTGTCTATAAGGTCTCGCAGCTTCCCCGTCATCATCCGCAATCTGAGCATGAAGTAGCTCAGGGCACTCTGCAACCATTGTTCCCCTAGGGCATGGCTTGGTCGAACTGCTTCGAAGTTGTTCCGGCTGTGGCACGCTTGCAAAGCCTTGAGCAGAAGCGAGTTCGGCAGCAAACCGTTGTGGCACACCTTCAACAGCTGATGCAGCAGGGGCTCTAGACTGCAGAACTGTGCTACATGGGTCGCCAACGCAGTCTTCCATGTCATATCATCTAAGCCTGCGAGGCATCGATCCAACGATCGATGCCGAAGGTTTTCCATACCTTTCTCGATCGCTGTCTCCAGCTTGGAGACAGTGACCTCAGGAAGGACTTTGAGTCTGGTCTTGGAGGCCATGGCGGCCGCCGCTGCCGCCAACCCCCACCAGAACAAAACAGCTCGAACCGAACACTGCAGCAGAGATCGATGTATGAATTTCAACTGTGCGGGACAAGCCTACATATAAAGGATCCTAAACCTTGCACACGATCCTAAACCTAAACTCAGACAGACGCAAGCAAATTTTTCGAATCCGCAACGGGATGTTCACTTGATCTTGGAGTGCAAGAATGCAGAATCCCGCTCTGCAAGCAGAATGTCGTGGCACAGACCTCTAGAGAATTGGGCAACAAAGCGGGTCAGAGCCGCGAGAGGCTTTCGTGCCCGCAGGCATGCCTGCATGAGGATCTTGCCCTTACCCATATAATCCTCGCCGGAGTATGTCCAGACATGGACTGGTGAAATCCAGGCTGCGATCTGGAGAGCATGGACCAGCCAGTGAGACTTAAACGTTAATTGGAACAAGCATCGCTGCTGCCTCAGGTACTCCTTGGTGAGACGGGTCATGCACTGTAGCATGCTAATTGCAGCAGTCACCAGCTCATCGCACGTCTTGCGGCCTGGGTGCCAGCTGTCGGCTTCCTCACGTAGCTTGCGATCGATCAAAGCACTGAACTGAAGCACCAGCTGCACCAGGACGTGAAGTTCCTTGCTGGCATCCATATGCTCAGTCCAGATTGCTTCGAGGGCTTGCACACAAGCCTGGGTCTCCGCTGCTTTGGCTTTGAGGCAGGGGAACGTTTTCTTGCACATGGGGTCATCCTTGTCTCCAAGGAACATGCCGCGAGTCAGGTTCGTAATGCCCCGCATGGATGTTCCGGACCAGAATGCTCTCATCTGAGCCAGAAGAGAGGCCCTATTATCGTCGAAGCTGCCCGGTAGAATCTCCGCGACCAAAAGCCAAATCACGGATCCACATATCCTTTGATCCACACCCAGATGTTTTGTATGCATCAGATCTGGCACCACCGATTTGGGCGACAGGGTTCTGATCAGCAGTCGGCACGAGTGCTGCCGAGGGATGACCCAGGCATCTTCCTCGATGTTGTCGACACGAAGGAATTGGAACATATCCTTTCGCTGCACGCTGCACAAACCGCATGGTCGCAATGAGTTCCATCTTGGTAACCCGTGGGTGAGGTTGTACCACTCCAAGTCGCCTGTGCAGAACACAGGCACTGCGAAGTAGCTTCGATGTCTGGCAGCGCTTGCCAGCATTCCATCGAAGGAGTCGCAGATCTGTTTCCAGATGGCATCGACCGTGTTGTCTTGCCTCGTCTTGGCCAGGTGATCAGACCA